AGTTTTTCCTTCCCACTGTCGCCAAAGTGCTTGCTCATAGGGGGTCATATGATTGTTGGGTTTTTCTCTGTATCTATGAAGCGCCTTGAGGCGACTTTTGTTGTGATTTGGTGCTATATAAATAAAATTGAATTGAATTGAATAGAGAGCTGCCAGCTTTCAGCCCCGACCGTGTCCGTGCCATCGGGTGAGAAAGGCGACATCTCACTGATTCTGATCCGCGGGTCTGCGCTTTGTGTTTATGTCTTTGTGCAGAAGCCGTGTACCTGCTCTCATTTACTGTTTTAAATGTTTGGTGGTCGTCGAAATTTTGTGACGTTTCACCTAAGATTCTGGAATTTTGGGCAAAATACATTTATATAAAAAAATCGATTCAGGATTTTAATGAATCGATATCACGTTATCCAAGCCAGAATAGATTTTAATTGACGAATCGAATATTAAAACCCACCCTAGTGTCGAGCCAAACGGACTTTAATGTATGTTTGAACGAGCTGACGGTTCACTCGTTAAGCTGAAAGAAAGATGCTTTAATCACAGCAGTCACACATGTGTCCACTCTACCATCTGGGAACTTGTGTGCTGTTTTGTAGCAGTGTATACACCTGAGACTGTCACCTGTCTGTCTGTCCTGCACTCTCTCTCTGTTTCTTTCTCTCTGATTGTGTAATAAAAGTATGAACATGTATTTACAAGTTACACTTGTGTTTGAATCCTGCAGCTTATCACACATTTGATTTCCATGCGTGACAACTGCAAGTGTCCAGAGGACAGACTGAGGGACCCACTGCTGCACATCATCTGTGAGGCTTTGCATCCCTGATGATCCACCAGGACAAACTCAGCAGTGTGTGAGGAAGAGGAGGAGGAAGAGCCAGCAGCAGCTGACAGATGGAGAGAATAGACAGACTGTTCCCTGTTTGTGAAGGACTGCTGGAAAAGTTTAGAATAACTAATTGTCTGTCCTGAATCAGTCTTATTAGGTAATGTTCAAATAATTTTATCATTGCAGTGTTTTCAGTGTGGGAGAAAGTACTCAGGGCCTTCAAGTTACACACTATGAAAGGCAGCAACAAGTTTAATGTTCAGAAACCTGAAGTATGTATCAGCAGCAGAATGGACCTAAAAATAAATGCTTGTTTCAGTTCTATGAAGCTTTGAGTATTTTGGATTAGTAGCACTGCTGTGTGTGTTGCATCATATTGCTGTAATTGTTTATATGCTTTATATATTCTGAGGTAAGTTGATCTATAGTGTTACATCATATTCTATAAGGATGTTAAGTGTTTGTAGACTTTCTGCCCTGTTTGTGTCAGGGTCCAGGGTTTTTTCGACCCAGTGTTTTGAGTTTCCTGTGTTTTTGTCATTTTGAATTATGTATTAAGTCCTCACTGTTAGTCTTTAGTTATTCTATAGGGTCTAGTTTCTTGTGTTCCTTGTTTAGTAATTTTCCCTCTGTGTTTCTAAGTGGATATAGCGATGTGAGTGTTGTGCTTCGTTCCCACTCCTTGTGTTCTGTGTTTCCTCATCCCATCATGTGCTCCTCATGTTCTCGAGCTATAGGCTCGTGTGGTGCCGGCCTTCATGTCGGTCTCCAGGACTGCATCGGCTTGGACTGTTAAGCCGGGTCAACCTGCAGAACTGTTTGATCATGCTGTTCTGCCAAACCTCTGGGTTGTCCTCCAGAGTTTTCAGTGTGTGGACTTTTGTGCTGTTCTTTTTGAATGTTTACTCCTGCTTCGGATTGTCTCCGTTTCTTGTCTGTCATTTGTTTTGGGGCTCTGTATTGTCAAGCTTGTATTGTTATGTCTATGTCTCCATGTTTCCTGTTGTTGTTTTTCTTTGTTTGCTTGTATTTTAAGAATCTGGTGTGTTATTGTTCATTGTGACGTTCCCCATACCGTCATTAGGTTCATGTGTGTCAGCTGTTTCCCCATGTGTTCCCACTTCCCCTGATCACCTTCTGTGTATTTAACTCTTCTGTTTGCTGTATTTCTTTGTCAGGTTGTTTGTTATACTCTTCAGTTTTCATAGTTTGTCATAGTTTTCACAGTTTTTTCAGTGTTCTTATTTTTTTTTTCAGTTTTTTTATGGTTTCATGTTTGCTACCGTTATCAGCCATAATAAAAGCTCGCTTTTTGTTCAACTTGCAACTCCTCTTTCAGCATCTGCTTCTGGGTCCTGTTCACAACACATCGGCGTGTGACAAAGGGTTTGTGTAATGGAGGAAGATGATCTGCTGTGGCGGTGCCTAAATGGAGCAGTGAAAGGGGAAGAATATACGATGTAACACACACAAAGCAATAGGAAGTCACAGCACTTCAACTGTGTTTCACATCAGCGACCATGAAACTGCCAACATGTCTCACGTTTTTCTTTCAAGGTATGTCCTGTGTACATTTTCTGAAGCTATCTGGCACCCACAAGTATGCCAGACCTTTTAATATTTCAAAACTTTGCTTTAAAGATGAGTAACTTACTGGTTTCCCCGGGGACGTAGTACAAAACTTGTGAATTAATCGCCTCGTATGCTGGACATAAATTATGTGAATTTTATCCTTTATTTGTTAGATATATGCCAAGAAAGGTAAGCATAGTTGAATGATTTACTGTTCTATAAGAAAAAAAGCAGGAAGTTAGATTAACTGGTGTATGGACCTGGCCTCATTCACATGGCTTCCGTCTTCTCTTGTGAAACTCCATTTTAATTGTTCTAAAAATGAGGCTACAACCATCTGTTTAGTTTTCACTGTGCATGTCATTAGCTTGGGCATTTACAGTTTAGTTTTGGAAATGTTTTCGTGTTTTTTGGTGATAGATCGTGTTTGAATCTGTATTGTTATCTACCCTAGCCTACCCTTAAGGTCAGATGCAGTTATGTGTCTAGACAGATGAAATTATTGGGATTACCAGTTTGACCCAAAACGGAAAATATTTTAACAACATATTTTCAGTGTTGCCTGCTTATCATTGAAACTACTGTAAATACTCCTCAAAAAAACCACAAGAATGGGGACATAGTACCTGACTTCAGATGACGATTTAACTCTAAACACCCCTTACCATGTCATTTATTTTATTTCTGTACATTCCCATTGTCTCATAATGAGGAACAACTGTTGATATTTCCCAATCATTTCTGATCATGAAGTAGACAATCATCTAACTCTGTGATACAGCCATCATTAGTCATTTTATGATAATTTATTTAGGGACAAGTCAAATGAAATCAAACGAAATCCCTTGTATTTAAAAATTTCCGCAAAAAGGACCTGTAGAAATGTCTACAGATAAAGTAGTGAAGTTGAATGTTTAGTTTGATCTTTTTGAAACTCAAAGGTGTGTATAAATGTACCGTGCTACTAAATGTATTAAAAAATGTATTTATTTTTTTTAACAGCACTATTAATTGTAGAAAGAGCAGCACTAGCTAAATCCCCTCAAGAAGTCTCTGGATATCTTGGAGAAAACATCACATTGCACTCAGGAGTCGACCCATCATGGAGTCTCACCAAAATTGAGTGGTCAATATTCACCAACAACACTTGGATTGCCACTTATCATAGTGGAAAAACAATGACTGATCTAGTCCATCAATACAAAGGGAGACTCACTCTTAATACAATGACAGGTAACAGGAAATTCATTACTTGTAAAAATGTAAACATATTGTAGTTTAATTTCTTCCTGTCATGTTTAATGGTCAGGACTCAAAATGTAGACTCTCAGTCCATAGTTCAGGATAACAATTTTACATCTGGGTTCCGATACAGATGTCCTGGAGGCTCCAAATCCATGTCACAGATTTGGCCAGAAAAGGGTCCAAAATTCTAACTCATAATTACAGATGGGTACTGGTATCATTCTGACATAAACGGTAGTAACCAGACCGAAAAGCAGCGCACATTTCAGTGCTTTATTTCGGTGCTTTTTTTTTTTTTTTTTTTTCCTGAGCTGTGATACACTTTAGATTCCAGCCAATCATTTTACGTTTCCGAGGATAGTAGGCGGGTCCAGGTACGTACGTTCTTTTAGAGAAAAGCTACAGATTAAAAATGCCCAAGGCGAAGCGGTCAAAAGTCTGGCTGTACTTCGCAGCAAAATATGCAAACTCAGCAGCCTGCAACAAGTGCTTTAAGGTGATACTGTGCAAAGGAGGTAACACCTCAAATCCGATGAAACACCTGGCGACGCATTTTTAAAAGACGAGAAATGCACCGTATTTGATAGCTTGCTGCGAGACCTCACACCGTGCACATCTACTGCGGGTGGGTTGCCTGTTACCGGACCCGGAGTTAGCAACATCCCCCAATAACCCGAAGAGGAGAGTCCTGGCCCCTAGCCCTGCCAGTGTAGCAGAAATGATGACGGATGATGATGGCAGCAGCAGCCGTTCTTCTTGATGGCAGATACTCCCTTCACCCTGGCCATTTAAGCACTGGCACCATTTCAAAAGTACCGGTTTGGCACCGGTATCGGATAAAACCTAAACGATACCCATCCCTACTCATAATCCAGTATACTCACCCTTAGCACACGCTCACCAGAGTCCAGGAGTCTGCACAGATGAGAGCATAAAAACCCACCAACCAACAAACAAAAGAAAGAGCCATCATTACTGTCTTAAAATTAAATGACTGTTTTCCTCCAGCTTAAATGGCTGACGACCAAATCCCTGCCAGGTCAGTTAATCAGCCCAAGTGCAGATAGACTGGTGCTGTAAAAAGACATGCCTTTACAAAGCAAGGTGTGGTTAGAAGAGACAGAGACGGACAGAACTAGGTAACTGGAGGACCATGACAGTAGCCTCCACTACTCCTTGATCCGTGTGTGCAGGATGGCTGAGTGAGGGATCCACGAGCATTCCTCCGTATTCCTGTATTCCTCGCAGTCCGTGTCGCTGATGCGATGGGTTATGGGGTAATTTTAACGGGACTGACTACAGACTCTACTTCAAAAAGACCGATACAACTGGAGCTGCTCCTTAGATTCTGACCTGAGAGGAATGAGCTCTGTGAACAACCAGACCCTGTGGTCAGGGAGATATCTGGAAGCAGGAGTACGACGAAGGTTGGTGAGGAACTTATTTTTCTCCTTCATCCGTAATAGGGTTGCTCAGGTAGGCCTCCAGATATTGTGACCACGTCCTACATGAAGTTTGACAGATCTCAGAAATCTCATCTTCCAAACAAAGGTGGCTGACATCCCAGAGATTCCTCAAGAGGTGAGAGACTGCTTGCAGAAGATGTCAAATTATGGGCATACTTGAGCCAAGAAAGCTGTTGGCTCTGTGGAATGATTGGAAGGCGTGATACACAGAAGGGCTGCCTCCACCTCTTGAGTCACCCTCTATGCCTGGCCAAGCTCACCTGCGCTCCCAGGATGGAACAGAACTCCGTCCACACTCGTGAAGTAAATTGTCGGCCACAATGTCCAAAGTTATGCTGTGGAAAATGTGGTTCACAAGGAGTTTAGATCTCTAGGGCAGAAGGTAGTTTGGAAATGGGAACAGAATGTACAGCTTTTGAAAATGGCTAATGGTGGTAAAAATGACAGTTTGAGGCAGGCTAGTGATAGGGTCTATTGCAATGTGGGACTGAGGTCGTTCCAGGGTTGAAAGAGAACATAGTTCACCTCCAGCTGGTCTACTGAGTTTTATTTCAAGCACAAACAGAATATGTGAAAAAATACACCCAGACATCTTTGAACAGAGAACCAGAATCAAAGTTGGATTAGAGTGATGGTGCAGTTCTTAACAGGGTGGCAGGCAAACGTGGAGGAATGAATCCACTGAATGAATTGGGACCAGATGTTGGATGGTACATTCAGCAGGGTGGGTGAACTGCGACCATGATCAGGTTCATCTTTTTAAGCATTTCTAACCAGCGACTCTAATTCCCAGGTAAGGAAACCCACAACGCAATACTGGTGCAGGACTGTACAGCATTCAAAAACTTGTCAGTATGTGTGGCTGGCAGCGAGAGAGAGGCGGCAGCCAACTGTGTGTATACAGCAACAAACAAATAAGTGAGAGAGATGGAGATGGGCAGTAATGCGTAATCCGATTACTTTTTTCAAGTAATGAGTAAAGTAAGGGATTACTATTCCAAAAAAAGGTAATTCGATTTCTGTTACTTTCCCGTAAGCACGTTGCGTTACTAAAGCCGTGGGTTTTTTTCTTTTTTTCTTTTCTTTTTTTTGAGTGTCTCATGACAATGACATAAGCGAGTACGACATTCGTGGCAACAGCTGTGTGCAGATCAAAAATGGGTAATATATCGAGTGCGGGAGAGCATATGACTGTGCAGCGTTTAAGTACTGACCTTACTTTGAGTTTGATTCTGTAAAAAGTGACAAAAAGATTAGCGTCTGCTGTTCACTGCGTGGGAAGAAAACAGCGAACCCCCCCCACCCCCAAACTTCCGAGCAAGCACAGAGTACAAATGTGAAATTCAGAGACTCCCAGATTCTTCCACTGACATGACGGCTGCGACAACCCTGCACCAGGGCAAACCTCCGCCTACCCAATCCTCCTATACAGGTGAAAATAGAGCAACAGGACCGCTGAGTCTTTGATTTTATTTATATTCTGCTGTGTTTTACTTGCATCTATTTGAAAGAGTGAGTGTAAACACAAACTATTTTATGTGCTGGAATATGCAGAAAATAGGTTTAAATGTTCAACAAATTTCTTCCAGTCAGAGAATGTTGCATATAATTTTTACTTGATGAGTAAAGTTCAAAGATTAAAACTAATAAAACAAGTTTTAAAAAGAGACTTTTTCATTTGATTCCATTTTATGATGGATTATGCAGAAAAATTTGAATTGGACTGAAGGATCTCACTTTATTACCCATTTAGGGTGTAAATCATGTTCTTAAAAAAATAACTAATTACTTTTGAAAATAAGTAATCAGTAAAGTAACAGGATTACGTTTTTGGGGAAGTAAGCAGTATGTAGTTACTGATTTTTTTTTCCCCCTCCCCCCTCTAACTTGACCAACACTGCCCAGGACTGGGCCAGCAAGGGGAGGAGCTGCCCAAATGGTGGCTGAAATGGCAGCCACACAGGGGGAGCAGGTGGCAGTGGCACGCCACCAGCAGTTAGAACTCCAGGACCGCATTGAACGCAGCATGTGGTCCTCGCTGACACTGCCACTACCCCCAGCAATGTTCCCCAAAGACATGGGAGTCGAGAAGGTCTGGACTGTTCCAGTGCCCGTGCTGGCCCCCAGGGTTTGACCAACCAGGACACCGCCTGCTGTTGCACCCATCTTCTTAGGTGGGAGCGGCTGGTGCCCGTCAGATGCCTGCACCTGTTTCTGCTCCCTGGAGGACGGACAGAGTGTGAGAATGACAGAACCCATGTCATTTTTGTTTGAAAACGCATCTTTTTCTCTACGTTTTGGCCTTCCGTCCCCACTTTTGGCTTTTTGGTCAATGAAAACAAAGCGTTTTGAAAACTTTACGAAAGAAAATAAACGGCAGACAGAAATGAAGCAGGTGAAATCTTGAGTTTCACGCATGCGCAGTACTGGAACGTAAGCGTTTTCGGCCATTTCAATGTGGATGAACAACTCTGTGAAAACTGATGAAAACGAAAAATGCAGTTTTCCAACTTATCTGGGCTAGTGTGGACGTAGCCAGAGAGACGGACAGAAAGGGAGTGTACGAGAGTGAAAGAGATGCGAGTGAGCCAGGGAACTGGAGAACCATGACACTTCCTTGATGTTATTTCAATGTATTTTACTCTATAGGTGACCTAACAATTCACAACCTGACTGCAAAGGATGCCACAGAATACACCGTAGACCTCAGCAGCAGTGAGGCTGAACCTGAAGGAAATACAATTAAACTCAACGTAAAACGTAAGTGATTATATTAATAATAAAGTCTTATTTTTTTAAAAAGAGAAATCAGCATTGCTCATTTCTTTCATTTTAAAGAATTGCAGCATTTAATGACAGAATATAGATTTTTTTTTCTCCCCTTATTTTGAATGCATATATACTGTATAAATATCACATTTTGGAGTTAGGAGCAATCAAATATATTACGTGGTTTAAAGTTAAACTAGGCAGTCTTGCCTTGATATTTTGGCATCTTTACTTTGTGTGAAATTAGCATTTTCACTCTCTACACTTGCAGAAAAGCTCCGGGAACCATCCATCCAGATAGTCACGAGCACATCTGTAGAAAATGGCTGTTTTATGGTGGTGAACTGCTCTTCTCTGGATAAGGGCATTAACCTTTCCTGGAGTGTTGAACCAGTCAGTGTGCTCACCATCAACAAGCATAATCCCAGTGACAGCTCTGCACAACTTTTTGCATTTGTCAACACCACACAGAACCTTGCAAACTTTACTTGCACCTCCAGGAGAGATATTGAGCGTGTTCCTTCGAAAACTGTCACTCCAAAGTGTGATAGTAAGATTTGTGGTAAGCTGTTAAATAGTATAGTCTGTAGCATGTAAGCACAGCATTAGATGAGATAAAGATTAAACAAAAGATGTGTGATCCAGTATCCTATATTGGTATCAATGCTCCTTTGAAGGACTACAAGTTGAAATTAAATCATATATCACACAATAAGTCACATTTCTGATTATTTTGTTTCTGCTTTCTCCATATAGTTTCAAATTGTACGAGTCCACCTCCACCCAGGAGAGTGACACATCATAGGGCTAGATATTCTGCAGTTTTGTTCTTGTCTGGCACTGTATTTGGTAGCATCGGAGTTATTATAATTTACCGTTATGCAGGTAAGAGAAAAATTACCCTCAGAGGAAAATGTTCATTCATCGTCCTTGTGTGTGCAGTCCAGTAAAGAATAATGGTTTTGGTGCTAAGGTACTTAAAATTATAGTTATTGTAGTAATAATAATGTAAAACTTTCTAACATTCTAAACATTTGAAACACATTTCTAACTATTTCTAAAATATTTATATTCTACCAACTCATCTACTGCAGACATGATCGATATAACAGGTTTTAATGTCCAGTATTCTTGATGTTACAGTGCAATCGCACAGCCTGCAGCATGACTTGTCATTAATAACTAGGAATTGTGCTACTGGATCAGAAAGAAGACAAAGAGGTAATTTGTACCACTATTATATGTTATGAGATTAAAAAAAAAACAAAAAAAAAACAAAAAAAACACTCTTTACCAGAAATATAGCAAAAGTCAAACTGTTCTGATAATGTGGGGCCACTTATAAAGTAGATAACCTGCTATTAAAATAATTAATATAAGATTATATTTTTGTTATATTCAGGTTGAATACAATGTTTTTCTTTTTGATTGTCAGTACAAAGAAGTATAAAGGAAGATGAAGAGACTGCAAATGTGCAGGACGAGCAAGGTGAGCAAATGAGCAGGTAGTCAAGTTAGGTGGGAAGAACAGTTATTTTTCACAAAATAATATCACATGCACTTAATAGATGCTTTGTGTTCTTTCCATTGGCACACTAAAAATTGTCAGGTTAAGGCTGTGTGCAGGCAGGAGTGGAAGTAGAAGGACCCAAAGTGCAGATGCTCTGAGGCGGAAAGTAGCTCAAAACTCAGCTTTTATTGCTGGATGGCAAAACGTAACAAAAATCCAAATAAACTTACATGACCATGCAGACAGAACACACAGCATAAATGAGAGTAGATCACAACACAGGCACAAAGAAACACAGGGCTTAAATACAGAGGGAACAATCAGGGAATGGGTAACAGGAGGGAAACACAGCTGGGGCAAATCAGGCCTAACGAGACAAGGGGAAGCAAACCCAGACACATTAACATCAGACATGGACTTTCAAAGTAAAACAGGAAACATAACACAGACTCACAGGCAGGCACTATAACAAAGGGAACAGAGACGTGGGACCAGGGCAGACGCAGACACTGACTGGACACGGGGATACAGCAGACAGCAACTATGGAACAGACAGAAAACCAGAACACTAAAACTCTAACCAAACCCCACCCAGAGAACCTTAACTAAGAATAATCCTAAAACCCAGAAAGCAAAGCTAGAATATAATGAAATAACAAAATCAAAGAACCAAAAACACAAAACACTGGGTCAATGACCCAGGGACCCTAACAAAAATGCCAGTGGACTAAGGAAAACATGTTAATATGAATAATAGCATTTTACAGGATTTATATCACTCTAAATTGCTTGAACACAATGGCTGCCACCCCCAGGCGAGTTTGGAACCCTTTTTTTTGTCTTTTTTAAAAACAGCCCTAAATTTAAATTCTTTTATTGATGTTACTGAGTGCACTCAAACAGCCCGCAGTATGGCTGATCAGTAATAATTCAGACTTGTGAAGATGAAGTGTAATGAGATATTTTGACTAGAAATAAGACAAATACACTTCTTGTAAGATTTTGAGTTTTGCAGTGTACATTTTTTTTGGCTCCCATTCTACTACAATGTGCATGTTTGTTTACAGTACAGCTTAGGCTCCTGGTGACAGCAGGTCAAAATGGTGACACCTTTCTATGTCCAGCAGCAGCCAGTATTCAGTTATAATATTGCTATAAATTTATTTCTGTTACATTTAACTTTTCAGTGGCAACACCAACACAAAGAGAGGAAGAATGAAGACGACAACAAGAGGGACTGTGAGGAAAAAGAAACAAGTAAGAGTGGACATGTGCAAGCTTTAAGTCAGAAATAGTTATAATACTAAGGTAGCTTTGTTTCATCCACAGTGATTAATGATGATTTCACACAAAAAAGCAGTGAGTTACACTATATACAGATATGGATCCCCAACTTGGGTTACAATGAACACTTAATAACAATTAATAAATAGAATTTTATTGTTTCATTATCTCTAGTTCAACACAAGGAGGAGAACAGAGCTTATACAAGAGCAGGGAGAACAAAGTGAGCAAATGGGCAGATAATGATGTAAGGTGACAAAAACAATAATGACTTTTAACAATATTATTTTCCATACATTTCATGGAGGCTTTGTGTCCTTTCCAGTAGTACACAAAAGGCTTATAGAGAATAGTGAGAATTAAAAGAGAAATTTAAAGCCAACATTACAAAATAAGTCAAGGCGGCCTGTGTGATACTTGAGTGATAAAGGGTTAACCTTTATTTTCTAGAAAACATGTTCAGCTCTGTATGTGAACGACTGTAGTCTAAAAGCAACTTTCTGTTTTGGTTTTGTCTAGATGCTAGCATTCATGACACAAAAGTTTTTTTTTTGTTTGTTTGTCTTTTGTTTTTTTTTTGGTTTTTTTTGTTTTTTTTGTAATTTTACAAAATGACGAAAATAACTGATTTTATTTTCATTGTATGTCATAACAGCGTCAAGCATGTCATAACATCAACAAGAATTCCTGAACCAGTGAACAAACACAGACTGAAGACAACCATCGTATTCAAATGAATGCATTTTGACAGAATTCTCAGAAGATGGATACATTATAATGAGCATATCAAGTGTCATAACTCAGACTCACTAAAATATACATCACAATCATATATAGGAACTGAGGTTGCTGCTGTACATGTTTGAACTTGTGTCTTTTCTGCCTTATTTGTTTTATGTATTTTATTATTATCTTGTGTGAATCTCTCGCTAATAAAAGGATATAAAAATATGAATACAGAAACAAATCTGTAAATAAAGGTACAACCTCAAAAAAAAAAGAAAAAGAAAAAAAAAAGAGAAATATCCCTTTATTAAAAACTATCTTTCTGGACCACTGTCAGGACTGTCAAAATCATGTATTAATTTCTTGTTGCTTTCTCTTACTTTGTTGATGTAATAATCATGGTGGTAAGCTATGCTCTCTAGGGAGTCACACATTGGTTGCAACACATTATTACATACAGTCACATCCATCACCCTTGCTTACACATATGTGGGGGTGATGGATGTTCGTACGTAAGTTTTAGGCAGGTTGAAATAAAATGCTGTAAACAAAGAATGCTTTTAAAAATGGCATAGTATCTTTATTTATAACACACTGTACATTCAACAATGTTGGCCAAAGTGCTACAAATATAAAACAAAGAGAGAACAGTTTAAATTACATATAGAATATCTTAAAATTAAAAATAAACATCTTAAGAGACATCAACAAGTCCTGTTGTGCTGAAAGCCAAGGTAAATAGATATGTTTTAAGACGTGATTTAAAAACCGATAAGGAAGGTGCCTGTCTAACATGTAAAGGTAACTCATTCCATAGTTTTGTAATGGCAGTGTTAATCAGTTATTTTCATCAATAGCGGGAGAAACACTATCAGGATATAACAGTTTATTGTCTTGGGCTGGTAGGGAAATTGGGTCAGACGTTAGAATTAAGAGCTCTGCTGTGAATGAGATTTAACAATGAGTTAATGAGACGTTATGGTTGGTCATTGATTTAGATGCCTGTTGACTTAGTGGTAACTCTTTGGGAATGACAGTAAGTAGCAGACTCAGCACCACATACCATGATTGTGCAAGTTAATTTACAGCAATGCATATGTGTGAAAATGATAAATAGGCAACTATTGTCAACAAATAATTATTAATAAAGTAATTCACAGTAACATTAATTTAATTAAATGTACAAGAAGAGAAAAAAATCATACTTTACAAAATTTACAACACTGTTAAAAACATTTTGTCATATAGCATGCAACATCAACAAAAAAAGAATGACACTTTTTTCCAATATGATAAAACTAGCATGCTAAATGTAATAAACATTGCCTCTTTCCTTGTCATAATAGGTTTGTATTTTTTCTGGCTTTCCATTTTCCAAGTTGTTGTTATGAAGAAAATGTCCAAATGTTCATACTTTTTGTGTTTACATAAGAAATTAACAAACCAACTAAGGCTATACAAAGCTATACGCAATCTATGAAACATCTTGGTAGGGTGACACTGAAACGTTCCTCACACGATTAAGCTGGATCTTGTCATACACTGTCTGGGGCTGTATGTGTGACAAAAAGATGGGAAAAACAAAGACATCAAATACACAGTTATTTGGTTTACTTTAAAATTAACCAGTGTTTCAAAATTTAAAAAGTAAATTATAAAAAAAAGAGCATAGAGTGGAGCATAAGTTAGGGAAAAATACATTGTAGCAAATGTATTATTATTATTATTATTATTATTATTGTTGTTGTTTTTGTTATTATTTTATAACCAATATAATATTCATAATAATAATAGATTCTTGAGACTAAATTTATCTTATATAAGACAAATTTTTGTCTCAAGAATTTCAATCACAACGCTTTGATCTTACCCCTGATTTAACCGAGGTGACTCTGTTATCAATGGTTTCGTACAACGAGCAAGGTGTCTTGATAGATGAAGTCCCCTGTGAGTGGACAGAAACCATTAAGATTCCTTAAAGTAAACCTTACTGTAGCGGGAGTTTTTTTTGGCTCAGCTGCAAGGGAGGGGTGGAGCAATGGGTTCAGGTGTGTGGTGTAAGGGGAGGCTGGTTGTCACAGCCAATATCCTCGATACCCGGTCCAGGAGAGACGTACAGTGTCAAGGGGTTACACGCCAGACTATGGTGACTCAGGCTGTACGCAAACCACTAAACCCTGGTTTGTCTGGGGTCATTGCTCGAGGCAGAGTAGTTGGAGGTTAGGGGTGTGTATGGGGACATTCATGAATACATAGAATGAAGGCTGCAGTTAGTTCGTGCCTGAGGCATCCCTTTATTTTGGGGTGCCTCAGGCCAATTGGCCCTGGTCCATCATCTAAAAGGCACAGTGTGATCAATTCCGTGACCTGTGTGGACATGTGGGGTCTGTGCTGCACTCAGTGGTGACCCCGGACTGCCCAACATTGACTCGGGGAGGAGGAAACTGTAGGGGAAACTGTGGTGCCACTGGCTCTGGTGACTCAGTCTTGTGATGACACCCTACGCTCAGCCTTTGGCGAGGTGATGAAAATTGATGGTCACATGGTGTGCCCTGTCCTGTGCGCTGACATTTCCACATGTTTTGTTGATTAGGAACAGATTATATTGAGTGAGTTGCAACACTCACACACAGAAAGAACACAGTTCAGATCAGTTGTGATCATAAGATCACATTTGGGTGAGTTCTCATTGATCATGAGAACATTTGTTCCAGGCCAAGGAACTTCTGTACAACAGAGGGACTAGGCTCAGACAATTTTTATTGGGGGATAAAGTACTTATATTACTCCCTTCTACCAGCTCAAAGTTACTCGCAAAGTGGCAAGGGCCCTTTGTGGTTGCACGAGAAGTGGGTGATGTTAACTCGACAGGGAGGGGCATTACATGTATATTACCTCAACCTCCTAAAAGGATGGAGAGAGGCTAAAACCTCTTTTCTGGATAGACTGGTGAAGGAAAGGGATGAGTTAGGGCTGGAGGTCCAAAATTTTACCATTTCCACCTCCCTCTATTGTGATAACCATCTCACACAGGCTCAGAGAGTGGATGTTGCTGCATTGCAACAGCATTATGCAGATGTGTTCTTCCCCCTGCCTGGCTGTACCAGTCTCATGGAATACCATTTTGAGACATGCCCCAGGATCACGGAGCATTCACAGACCTACACGGAGGAAGGTACAATATCTGGGGTACCACTTGGGAGGCAGGCAGGTGCGTGTGCAGATGGGAAAAAAAGCAGCCATCATATCCTGTCCACGTCCCAAGACCAAGAAAGAGGTAAGGTGGTTCTTGGGACTGGCTGGTTACTACCGAGGTTGTGCCTGGATTCACGGCCATGACCAGCCCCTTGACCAACTGGAAAAGAAAGGGTTCCCCAGATCTGGTCCAGTAAGCGGAGCAGTATTTGTAGGCTGGGCTAGATGGCTCCCTGGCCAAAGTTGGGTGATGGGGTCGTGTGGTGGGGTGTGGTTTTTGGCTTGGCTGCAGGGGACGGGTGGAAAAGGGTGTGGTGTCAGGGGAGGCTGGTTGTACAGGCGAGCATCATCTAATCATGCCTTGCCTATTTTAGTAGCTGCTGGGACCAGGAAGCAGGCAGCTGATCGGAGCATCTGAGAGGAGAGGAGCTGACAGCAGGGATTGAGCTGACAGAGAGACAGACACTGAAATGTGCACAATAAAATAAAAGTTTTACAAGCAGCCATATCCATGGTTGTGCTGGATCCTTTTGCACTTACATTTTATTCTCAGAAACACAAAATGTTTCCTATGAAAACTTATGTGTGTAAAGCACAATATATGATACTTACATCTTCATTTGTAACCTCACCAATATCAGCATACACAGTGAGGTCATTTGTGTCACTTCCTGGTTACAAATGAAAAACATCAGGTAAACTGTTAAAATATGACACTATTAACATGATAAAGCTAAATGATTATCAAGAGTTTCTTACCAACATGTCTTTTTCTGCAGCAACAAACTCCTGTGATTATACCAATTGTTATAAACACCAAACATCCACCAGCTGCACCCACAAAAAGGATGAGGCGTTTTTCTGCAAATGATGCCATTCTTTATATTAATAACATGCCAGGATTAAATACAGTAAAATGAACCAAAATATTCCAGTAAGAAAAGCAATTGAAACAATGCTAACAAATTTGTTCCAATTAATGTAATTTTCACAAATTGAATCATAATTATAACATGAGTTTCTGACCCCATATCATCACCAACAATTTTGTGCAAAAAGTCTTGAAGTTATCCATCATTTCTTCATATTTTGCATACAAGGAGACTGATTTTTGCCAGACGCCTGGACAATTATTCCCCTAACACTTTAAAAATGCAAGAAAATCAAAGTTTTTCTATGGACATTGTCTGTTTTTTTTTTTTTTTTGCTTGTTTTTAGCCCAGTCCTTGTACTTGAGGACTTCCAGGAGAGCTTTTTGTTTTGTTTTTTGAGCCACTGAACATTGACCTATGAATTCAAGAATAAAAAAAGGTTCTTAACAGTGTAATGTCTACACATAACAGACAATGAGTCTGTTATGTGTAGACTATGAATTTATAAAAAATGAAAAATTGTCAAAAATAACAGTTTGACAGGCATAAAATAGTATTGTTGCACTAGCAAGGTGATTTCCAAAGTGTTATTAGCTGACATCTTGGTATATTTTGGCATTGTGTACATTCTTCCATGAAAAAAAATGAAGCCAAAAAAGTGGAAGGTCTAAAAAATATCTACAGCAGACGAACAGTATCTGAAAGTCATATCCTTAAGAAACAGAAAAAAAATACTGCAAAGACCTGACACTTCAGATTGCAGTAACCTCATCAGAAATAGTCTCAGTGGAATCGTTTGAAACATGCTAGACTAGTATTGCCCATATGAACTTATCTCCATGTTTGGAAATAGGCACTCGTATGGGAGTGGTTTTGTGTGTCACAATTGCTGTGAGCCAATGCCTGTGATACGCTTAGGTTAATTGAAGGCAGGTGTTGATTGGTGTTGATTGCACCTATACTCTGGTCTACTTGTAGCCCACACTACAAACACTGCGGTGATATTTTGTCTCTCTGTGCAGCTATGTCATATGATCAGATTCAGAATGGTTGGTCAGACCTCAAATCTGGGTGTGTTAAAGGTTTCTGTCAAGAAGACATTAAAAGAAAGCCTGCCGGAGTTCAGGCTGTGTTAAAGAATTCACTAGCTGGGCCCACGTCCTCATTTTAGGTTTGGCAACTGAGCTGCGGTTTGGGGAAGGCCTCGAAGGGGACTGGCGACGGCAGATCCCCATGTACTAAATACAAGTGAAGAAATTAAAGAATTGAGAACAAGGAGGGAGGGTGGGTGGGGCATGTAAACAAGAATGTACAGCTTGTACAACTAGGGGAACCTATATAGATGACAACTGGAGGGAATGTGTTTGGAGGCGTGGTCCTGCTCCTGAAATTCCGATACATAATCTCCAATAAAAGTGGTCATACCAAATAACCTTGAAAATTATTAGAACTGTACAAGCTCTGTTTTTGCCTTATATACTGTAATTGCATGTATTTTTACACAATTTATTTATAGATTTTCCTTATTTCTGATTTTCCTAGCAACATATGAAGAAATTAAACAAAAAGGGTCAACACTTTTGGACAGTAGACAGTATGTTCTATTCATCCTTAATTCCAAACAGCTATGCTTTTTAATAGTTCCAAAAGATCTGTGGTCATGTTGCATTTGGGGATAGCATCAAGATGGTGGATATAAATTATATGTCACATTCATATCTTGACTCTCCTGTACTACAGTTTTTCCACCACACAACACCAATTGTGATCCGTCAAAAAAAAAAAAGAAGTAAAAATGCACACTGCAAATGCCTGGTTCTTCTTGTGTACCTTTGCTGCACTTCACAGTTTGAAATGCAGACTTCTCACTGACATTATTGGAAACTGTGCAAGTGAAATTAGTCTCTCCATCCTCCCTGATGATGTATTGTTGCCTGGGACCAGGTAGTGTTTGTTTTCCTACAGTCCAGTTGTAGCTGACATCACCAGTTGTGCTGCACTCCAGCAGAACTTTACATGACCCATTAAAAGCCTCCCAGGTAGAACTGATTTTTATGACCGGCTTACTTATGGGTTCTAATGAGAAAACAGAAGGAGAGAGAGTGTCTCAGGTCACCTTTTGCAACACAGATTAAAATAGATGTTTGTGCAGCATTCTGCAAATGTATTATACAAAACTAGGCCAATCAACAACAAACTTTAATAAAATCAGAAAAGAATTATTAACCACTCCGTCAGTAGGTCACAAATAGTCTAAACTGCAAAGACAAACTATATAAATCAAACACATTAAGAATCAAGCACTATATTGTTATTTATATAT